CCAGCCACATTGTTTTAATTTAAAGTCTAGTTTGTCTTATATCAGTATAGCCAACCCCTGCTCTCTTTGTTACTGTTTACATGGGAATATATTTTTATCTATTCACTTTCAATTCATTTGTGTCTTTGGATGTCTAAAGTGAGTCTCTTGTACATATGCATCTTCATCCATTCTGCCAGTCCTGTCTTTTGATTGAGAGTTTAATCCATTTACTTTAAGTAATTACTAATAAGGAAGGACCTCTATTATTTTCTTATTTGTTTTCTATATGTCTCTATAACAATTTTCCTTCATTTCCCACATACTGTCTTCTTGTCACTAGCTGTTTGGGTAGTAAAGTTTACGTTCATTTCTTTTGTTTTATTATATGCAGCTATTTTCTTTGTGTTACCATTGAGGATTTCATTTAATATTCCTATAGTTATAACCTCTTAATTCAATTATACTACATTAACTCCCAGTTGTATAAAAAACTCTGTTCCCTTACTCTTCTGTCCCTTATCTTTTTTTTTTTTGATTGACAAGTCTCGACTGTTGGTGTTGCCCCAGGCTAGAGTTGAGTGCCATGGCTAGTCAGCCGAGCTCACACAAACCTCAAACTCCTGGGTCTCAAGCACCTCTGCCTCAGCCTCCCAAGTAGCTAGGACTACAGCATGCGCCACCATGCCTGGCTAATTTTTTCTATATTATTAGTTGCCAATTACTTTCTTTCTATTTATAGTAAGACGGGGTCTCTGCTCTGTGCAGGTTGCTTTTAACTCCTGACCTCGGCAATCTGCCCGCCCTGCCTCCCAGAGTGCTAGGATTACAGGCGGTGAAGGCACCGCGCCCAGTCCTATCTTTTTTATGTTGTTGATGTCCAAAATTACATCTTAAACCTTGTGCCCAAACATAAAATAATTGGTTAAATGCAATATGCTCAAGTTAACACTAATAGAAAAACAAAAAGTGCAGTTAGAAGATCATTGTTACAAAAGATACCAGCTTTTATAATCATCCATATATTTGCTTCATTGAGATCTTTATTTCTTCATATGGCTTGGTACTTTCTAGGGATTCTTTCAATCCAACTGCATGAGGCTCCCTTGATTAGTCTTACAGGCATCGTAGTGAGTAATGAACTCCTCTCAGCTTTTTAATCTGAGATGGTCTTTTTTTTTTTTTTATTTCTCTTAGTAATATGCACACATAAGCCACTCCTGTCTTTTCATGGTTCGACTCGCTCATTTCTTTTTACTGCTGAATAATATTCCACTGTCTGAAAGTATCCCAGTTTATTTGAATCTATTCACCTACAGAAGGACATTTTAGTTGCTTCCAAGTGTGACGTCATGCATGGATCTGCTATAAACTTCCATGTGCAGGTTTTGTGTGAACGTAAGTTTGCACTACTTTGGTAATACCTGGAGGACAATTGCTGGACCAATAGGGCGAGAGTATATTTAGTTTTGCAAGAAAACTGCCTACTGTCTTCCAAAGTGGCTGTGGCATTTTGCATCCCCACAGCAATGAGTGACAGTTCCCAGTGGCTCTGTATCTTCCTCAGCTTTTGGTGATGTCGGTGTTCTGGATTCTGGCCGTTCCTAAACAGGTGTGTGGGGATACGCCTCGTTTCAGTTTGCATTGCCTGACACATGCGTCACGGAGCGCCTTCCACGCGCTGATATGCCAGCTGTGTGTCTCCTCGGGGGTCTCTGGTGAAGGTGTTGCCCATTCCTTTTGTTATTGTTGCTCTTTCTTTTCTTTCTTTTTTCTTTACCACTAGACCACAGACACGGCCATTTCTTATTGGTGGAGTTTTAACAGTTCTTTAATATTTTGGACACAAACCTTTATCATATGTGTCTTTTGCAAATATTTTCTCCCAGTCTGTGGCTAGTCTTCTCATACTCTTGACATTGTTTTTGGTTTTTTTTCTTTTTTTTGTGGTAAACGCACATAACATAAATTTTTACCATCATACCTTTTTGTTTTTGGAGACAGAGTCTCTGTGGCCCTGAAGAGAGCAGTGGCGTTATGATGGACTCACTGCAGCCTCAAACTCCTGGACTCAAGGGATCCTCCTGCCTCGACCTCCCAGAGTGCTGGGACTACAGGTGTATGCCACTGTGTTTAGCCCATCTTAGCCACTTTTTTTTTTTTTTTTTTTTGAGACAGAGTCTCGCTTTGTGCCCAGGCTAAGTGAGTGTGCCATGGTGTCAGCCTAGCTCACAGCAACCTCAAACTCCTGGGCTCAAGCGATCCTCCTGCCTCAGCCTCCCGAGTAGCTAGGACTACAGGCATGCACCACCATGCCTGGCTAATTTTTTCTATATATATTAGTTGGCCAATTAATTTCTATTTATAGTAGAGACGGGGTCTCGCTCTTGCTCAGGTTGCTTTTGAACTCCTGACCTCGAGCAATCTGCCCGCCTCGGCCTCCCAGAGTGCTAGGATTACAGGTGTGAGCCACCCATGCCCGGCCGCGTCTTAGCCACTTTTAAGTGTATAGTTCGGTGGCATTAAATACATTTATAATGTTGTACAACCATTACCACCACCCACCTCCAGATCTCTTTTCATCTTATAAAACTGAAACTGTTTATCCATTAAACAATAACCCCCCTTCCCTAAACTCCTGGCTACCACCATTCTAATTTGTGCCTCTATGATTTTGACTACTCTAAGTACCTCATGGAAATGGGATCATATGGTATTTATCTTTTTGTGACTAGTTTATTTCACATAGCATAATGTTCTCAGGGTTCATCTATGTTGTAGCATATTGCAGGATTTGCTTTCTTTTAAGTATTCCCTTGTACGTGTTAGGGTACCACGTGTTGCTTATCCAGCCATCTGTAGGCGGACGCTTGGTTTGCTTCTACCTCTTGGCTCTTGTGCATAATGCTGCTTTGAACATGGGTGTGCAGAGATCTCCCTCAATTATTCTGGGTATGTACCCAGGAGTAGAAGTGCTATATTATATGGTAATTCTATTTTTCATCCCTCCTCCACCCCCCTGCAAATATCCTGAATGGATCATCCTTTTTCCCTGCAGAATTGGTAGCAATGTCCTCACTTTTATGTGTGACGTTAGCAGTTTGAGTCTTCTCTCTTTCTTTTCTTAGTCCATCTGGCTAAAGGTTTGTCAATTCTGTTGATATTTTCAAATAACCAAATTTTGGTTTCCTTGATTTTCTCTATTTTTCTCATCTCTATTTCATTTATCTCTGCTGTGATCTTTATTATTTCCTTCCTTCTGCTAGCTTTGGGTTCTGTTTGTTCTTTTTTTCTAGTTTCTTAAGTTGTAAAGTTAGGTCTTTGATTTCAGATCTTTCTTGTTTCTTAATGTGTTTATTGCTGTATATTTCTCTCTTAGCACTGCTTTCCCTGGTCCTGCAAATTTTGGTGTGTTGTGTTTTTGTTTCATTTGTCTCTGAACATTTTCTAACGTCCCCTGTGATTTCTTCTCTGATCCATTGGTCGTTAAGAGTGTGTCGTTAAATATCTACATTTTTGTGAACTTTCCAGTTTTTCTTCTTCTTCTTCTTTTTTTGGGGGGGCAGTGGGGAGAAACAGGGTCTCACTCAGCCTCCCAAAGTGCAGGGATTACAGGCATGAGCCATCCTGCCTGGCCTAGTTTTCATCTGTTTTTCCTTTCTTTCTTTCTTTTTTGAGCTAGGCTCTCACTACAGTGCAGTGGTGTGATCATAGCTCACTGCAGCCTTGGACTCCTGGGCTCAAGTGATCGACCTACCTCTGCCTCCTGAGTAGCTAGGACTACAGGCATGAGCCACCACATATAGCTAATTTTTAAATTTTCTGTAGAGATGGGGTCTTGCTATGTTGCCCAGGCTGGTCTTGAACTCCTAGGCTGAAGGGATCCTCCTACCTTGGTCTCCCAACATGCTGGGATTACATGCATGAGCCACTGTGCCTGGGCTTGTTATTAATTTTTAACTTCATCCTGTTGTGGTCAGAGAATATACTTTGTGTGATATTGATCTTTTTAAATCTATTGAAACTTAATTTGTGACCTAACATGATCTATTCTAGAAAATGTCCCATGTGCACTGGAGAAGGATGTGTATGCAAACATGGTTGGATAGTGTTCTCTGTATACAGTAGCCCCCTCAACCTTATCCATGGGAGATGTATTCTAAGACCCCCAGTGGCTACCTGAAGCCACAGATGATAGGGAACCCTATATATACTAAGTTTTTTCCTATACACACATACCTCTTTTTTTTTTTTTTTCCGAGACAGAGTCTCACTTTGTTGCCCAGGCTAGAGTGAGTGCCGTGGCGTCAGCTTAGCTCACAGCAACCTCAAACTCCTAGGCTCAAGGGATCCTCCTGCCTCAGCCTCCCCAGTAGCTGGGACTACAGGCAAGTGCCACTATGCCCGGCTAATTTTTTCTATATATATTAGTTGGCTAATTAATTTGTTTCTATTTAGAGTAGAGACAGGTCTCGTTCTTGCTCAGGCTGGTTTCAAACTCCTGACCTTAAGCAATCCGCCCACCTTGGCCTCCCAGAGTGCTAGGATTACAGGCATGAGCCACCACGCCCGGCCACACACATACCTTTTAATTTATAAAGTAGGCACAGTACAAGATTAACAACAATAACTAATAATAAAATAGCACAGTTATAACAATATACTGTAATAAAAGTGTGTGAATTTGGTCTCTCTCTGTCTCTCAAAATTGTTGCATATGCAATTTTTACACCATGGGTAAATGAAATCATGGAAAATGAAACCACAGATAAGTAGGGACCAGTGAATCTGTTAGATCCAGTTAGTTTATTCTGTCGTTTAAGTTGTCTATTTCTTTATCTTCCATCTAGTTATTCTATCCATTATTGAGAGGGGGCTATTGAAGTCTCCAACTATTATTGTAGGACTGTCTATTTCTCCCTTAAATTCTGTCAGTTATTGCTATGAATATTTCAGTCTGTTATTAGGTGCATATATCAGTCCGGGCTCTCCAGAGAGACGGAACCGATAGGAGACATGTAGATCGATGACGGGATTTATTAAGGGAATCGGCTCACGTGATTATGGAGGCTGAGAAATCCCACGACAGGCCATCTGCAAGTGGGCAAACCGGGGAAGCTGGCGCTTGAAAGCTTCAGATGTAACCTTCAGTCTGAGGTCAAAGGCCTGACAGCCGGGGAGCCCTCGGCGGTGGCTCCTGGAGTCCAAATACCAGAGAACCTGGAATTCTGACCTCCAAAAAAGAAGGAGAAGGGCATCCTGGCTCTGCAAGAGGGGCAAGAATTCTCCCTCTCTTCATCTCAGGGTCTGCCCAGGCCCTCAGCTGATTGAATGGTGCCGTCCACGCTGAAGGTGGCTGCTCCTCTCTCAGCCCAGGCTCGCTGCCAGTCTCCTCTGGATATGCCCTCCCAGACACAACCAGCAATGCTGCTCACCAGCCGTCTAGGTAGCCCTTAATCCAGCCACGTCGATGCCTAAAATTAACCAGCACAGGGCATGAATGTATATAATTTTGTATTTTCTTACTGTATTGAAACTTTTATTTTATTTTATTTTTTTTGAGACAAAGTCTCGCTTTGTTGTCCAGGCTAGAGTGAATGCCATGGCGTCAGCCTAGCTCACAGCAACCTCAAACTCCTGGGCTCAAGCAATCCTCCTGCCTCAGCCTCCCAAGTAGCTGGGACTACAGGCATGTGCAGTGCCACCATGCCGGCTAATTGTTTTGTATATATATATTTTTGGTTGGTCAATTAATTCTTTCATTTTTAGTAGAGACAGGGTCTTGCTCAGGCTGTTTCGAACTCCTGACCTCGAGCAATCCGCCTGCCTCAGCCTCCCAGAGTGCTAGGATTACAGGCGTGAGCCACCGCGCCTGGCCTGAAACTTTTGTTAATATATAATGTTCTGTTTTCTCTTATCTCTTGTAACATTTTTTTTGATTTTTAAATTTTTTTTTAATTTCTTTATTTTTTTTCTATTTTTAGTTTGCCAATTAATTTTTTTCTGTTTTTAGTAGAGACAGGGTCTCGCTCTTGCTCAGGCTGGTCTTGAACTCCTGAGCTCAAACGATCTACCCACCCCGGACCTCCCAGAGTGCTAGAATTACAGGTGTGAGCCACCATGCCCAGCCACATTTTTTTTTATTTAAAGTCTATTTTGTCTTATATTCAGTATAGCCAACCCTGCTCTCTTTAGTTACTGTTTACATGGAATATATTTTTTATCTATTCACTTTCAATCCATTTGTGTCTTTGGATTCTAAAGTGAGTCTCTTGTACATATGCATCTTCATCCATTCTGCCAGTCTCTGTCTTTTGATTGCAGAGTTTAAATCCATTTACATTTAAAGTAATTACCTAATAAGGAAGGCCATCTATTATTTTCTTAATTTGTTTTCTATATGTCTCTATAACAATTTTTCCTTCATTTCCATTACTGTCTTCTTTGTATCTAGCTGATTTGGGGTAGTAAAATGTTTAACGTTTCTCATTTTCTTTTTTGTGTTTATTATATAGCTATTTTCTTTGTGTTTACCATGAGGATTTCATTTAATATCCTATAGTTAACCCTAACCTTCTTAATTTCATTTACTACATTACTCGCAGTATGTATAAAAACTCCTGTTCCCTTACTCTTCTGTCCCTATCTTTTTCTTTTTTTTTTAAGACAGAGATCTCACTTTGTTTGCGCCCAGGCTAGAGTGAGTGCCTGGCGTCAGCCTACTCACAGCACGCTCAAACATCCTGGGGCTCAAGCGATCCTGCTGCCTTCAGCCTTCCAAGTAGCTGGGACTCACAGGCATGTGCCACATGCCGGCTAATTTTTATATTGTATTCAGTTGGCCAACTTACTTTCTATTTATAGTAGAGACCGGGGTCTTGCTTAGCTCAGGCTGGTTTTGAACTCTGACCTCGAGCATCCACCTGCCTCGGCCTCCCAGAGTGCTAGGATTACAGGCGTGACCACCGCGCCCAGTCCCTATCTTTTTTAGTGTTGATGTCACAAAATTTACATCTTAAGCATCTTGTGCCCAAAACATAAATAATTGGTTAAATGCAATATGCTCAAGTTTACTAACATTAATAGAAACAAAAAGTGCAGTTAGAAATCATTGGTTACAAAGATACAGCTTTTTATAATCATCCATATATTGCTTTCATTGAGATCTTTATTTCTTCATATGGACGTTTTGGGTTACTTTATAGTATTCTTTCAATCCAACTGCCAGAGCTCCTTGAGTAGTCTTACCAGGGCAGTGCTAGTGGTAATGAACTCTCTCAGCTTTTTTTATTCTGAGGATTGTTTTTTATTTTTTTTTTTTTTTGAGATAAGTCTCACTTGTTGCTGGGCTAGATGCTGTGGCGTCAACCTAGTCACAGCAACCCTCAACCTCTGAGCCCCAAGAAATTCCTTTTGCCCTCAGCCTCCTGAGTACTGGGACTACAGGCATGCACCACCATGCCCGGCTAATATTTTCTATATATTTTAGTTGTCCAAGCTAATTTCTTTCTATTTTAAGTAGAGGTGGAGTCTCGCTCTTGCCTAGGCTGGTCTTTGAACCCTTAGCTCAAGCCAAATCCTACCACATCGGCTCCTAGAGTGCTAGGATTATAGGCATGAGCTCGTCGCCGGCCAATCTGGGAAATAGTCTTAATGTCCTTTTCATTTTTTTTTTTTTGAACAGTTGTTTTGCAGTAGAGAGAGGCGTACCTAGTCACAGAATAATGGCTACGATCCTGGTAAGCCCCGAGTAGCTATACAGGTGCCATCGGCTATTTACTATCGGTTATTTCTTCATAAGTAATACGTTCGCTTTCTAGGACATCTGACTTGAGCAATCCCCTCGCCCACGTGTTCAGGCACCACCCTCTTTTTGAAGGACTTTGACAATATGGTCGACACCTTAACTAAGTACAACTCCTCTACAAGTCAATGAGAACCCTACTGGTGATCTTTACTGAGTATCCCTGGGGGGGCAATGTGATGGCCACTTCTCTCTTGCCTCTTCCAAGATTCTCTTCTTTCTCTTTGCTTTTGAAAGTTGTTAATCATTGTATTTGTTTATATAATTTTTATTAATACACAATATTTTGTACCTAATTTATGGGGTACACGTGACATTTTGTTACATGCACAGAATGTGTGATGATCAAGTCAGAGGTTTGGGGCACCACTCCTTGACTGTTATCCATTTCTGTGTGTGAATCATTTCAAGTCTCCTCATTCTGGCATTTGGAATATACAACCACCTGTTGTTTATCTATAGTCACCATACTCTGCTATTGAGCATTAGAAAACTTTTCCTTCCATCTAACTGTATGTTCTGTGCCCATTACCAACCTCTCTTTCATCCTCCCCGCGCCCAACACCCTGCTCAGCCTGCTGTTTCTATTATTCTACTTCTCTCCTTCATCACATACACTTTTTTTTAGCTCCTACATATGAGTGGAGTACATGCAATTTGTTTTTCTGTGCCTGGCTTTCTGAAAGATTGGTTATATAGTGTTCTTGGTGTGGATCTCTTTGGGTCATCTTATGTGTTAATTGACTTCTTTAGGGTTTATATTAATGAATTACAATAATATCTTCATTAAATTTGACAAGTTTCACATTTATTCTTCCAAAGAGTCTCTCTCCTCATCTTCTCTCTCTTGTCCTTGGGAATCCCCACAGAAGTGTATTTGTCTTGATGGTATCCTTATGTACCGTGGGTCTGTTTACTTTTCTTTTGATCTTTTTTATTTCTGGCCTCAGAGTCCAATTATTCATTGGTCTTTTTCCGTTTTTCTGATTCTTTTCTTCTGTCTGCTCAATCCATGTTATTGAATCCTCTAGTGAAATTTTCACTTTTTTATTTTATTTTTTGGTATATTGAAATATTCTTTTGGGTTAATAAGTATATTTTGTTTTGAATTTTCATTTTAGTTATTGTACTTTTTAGCTTCAGAATGTTGTTTTTTTGGGTTTTCTTTTTATTAATATTTTCCATTTTGTTTCATACATTGTTCTTGTCTTTCCCACATCTTCTCTTTTGGTTCTTTTCAGTATCATTAGAGATATTTTAAAGTCTTTGTCTAGTAGATCCACCATCAGTTCTTCTTATTTATTTTTTTCCTTTGATGTGCCATACTTCTCTGTTTCTTTGTATCCTTGTGATTTTTTTTGTTGAAATGACATTTGAATCTAATAATATGTGCAACTCTGGAAATCAGATTCTTCCTCCCAATGGTTTGTGTTTTTTTAAAAAATTTTTTGTTTGTCTATTGATTATTGTTGCAGCCTGTTCTGTGCAAAGGATCAGCCTGATGTAAACTTAAGATCCTCGTCAGGCTGGGTGCAGTGGCTCACGGCCTGTAATCCTAGCACTCTTGGAGGTCAAGGCGTGCGGATTGTCGAGATTCAGCGAGTTCGAACCAGCCTTGAGCAAGAGCAAAGACCCAGTCTTACTATAAATAGAAAGAAATTAATTGACAACTAATTATAATAAAATACAAAAAAAAGCAGGATATGGTATCCGTGCAGCTACTCGGGAGACTGAGGCAGCAGGATCGCCAAATTGATGCACAAAAGAGTTTAGGTTGCTGTGAGCTAGCTGACGCAGGCACACTCATTAGCCTGGGAACACAAGCAGGACTCTGTCATCAAAAAAAAAAAGATCCTCTCAGGCCTTTTTTGACTGCA